CCTAAAAACAAACAAAAAAATATTCTGCAAGAATTATGTAGGCCTACATTTGATCTTGATGGGGTGATCAGGGGTGCAAAAATGGGCTATGCAAAATACACACAGGGCATATGGGCCGATGACCAATAGCATAAAATACTAGATGGGGTTCGGAGTGAAATCATGCATATCTCCCTCAAATTAGGTTTTTTGTACCCCTAGGGGTGACCCAGGAAGTGGTGAATTAGGCTACTGTGATAACAATCACCATTGTTCCCATGTGCTAATGTTTTTTACCCCAGGTAGCAGAAACTACAATTAGTGAGACACAATGGGGAAAAAAACATCTGCTAAATGACATTAGCATCCACTAACATCTGCCTTTTGTCCACAAAACTACTGATTACCCTTGAATCAGACCAACTGTTGAGCAGACAGTCATAATGGTGCTAATAAATAACTTTACATAAAGTTACATGATAATAAATAGTTACATGATATAGTGTCAACATTGGTGGGTGATTTTTTTTCTATCCAAATTAAATTTCATAATACATTTTTATATATGCTTATAAACATGAAAGCGTGTTATGATGTTTAGTGAAAATGAATCGCCAGCACATGGTCATGTGACCCATCCGTTATTGCTTTTTCACGGATGTTTCCCACAAGGTCAGATTCTCCATTTCATATCCTAGTGGCACTGCCAGATAATTCATCCATACTTCAAAATACGTAGGCTATGTGATGCATTTGGATTGCATGTACTGCAGTGTTTTTTGCTTGATGTTGCTATTTGCTATTAGTTTCCCCTCGATTACCATTTAAATATCATGAACATATGTTATGTCATACTTAAAGATTACATTCATTACCTTTCCAATTATGAGATACTTGAGCCTGGAACCTGGATGCTGGAGCCTGCTTAATAATATTAGATAACCTTGATGATTGGTGAGTATTTCGTCCTTTGGTCACACAGCTGTGGTAACAGCGCCACCCAGTGTTGTGTTTTCTAGCTGCAGTACGGAACAGCTGATTATAGTGACCTCCCCTTCAGCCAAACCATCTGAGACCAGTTCATCGTGGTTTCATCAGGTCATTCTGATATCTAAGGAAGAAAATGACCTGTGCAGTGACATTCATAACGGCTGAATATTATTTCGATATATTCATGAAATAATGACCCTCCTATTTTCATGTAAATTATTAAAACTTTTTGCACTGTTACCCTTGGAGACAGAGGTCAGCATGAGCATAATCCTGTCAAATAGCTCTGACTGTAATGGTATTGAAGCATTTATGAAGTTGTTGCTTCCTCTTCAGTCACATACAGTATGTGTGTGCATACTTGTTTCAGCTGAATTCATGAAGTTGTAAAATGTCAAGTAAAGTCAAATGGAACTTGACTGAACATGCAGAAAAAGAAAAAATAAATAAATAAACTGGAGGCTGTATTCAGTTGTTTCCTCAAACTTGCACATGGCGAGAGATCTAAGAGAGCACAAACAGGCATGTGTCTCACTTCATGTTTGCTCTTAATTCAGATTGTACAGTTTTCTTTTTAGTTTCATATTGAAATGTCAGGCATGAGTGCATGAATCTTTGTTTCATATTTTCAAATGCTGTACAGGAAAACATTGTTGCAGAACCAAGCCAGTTGAAGTTTAACAAGATAATTTAGCATGAATTAGAGTAGAGTAGCCTACCTTAAAGGGTTAAAATATTATATCAAAATTTCCTCCCATTGACAGCCTATGCAACTACCACTTTCAAGGTTCAGAAAGGGATAAAGACATCATTAAAGTAACCTACGTGAATCCAGTGACTTAATAAACTTCTAAGAATGTTTAAATGAGGAAAAAATAAACCATGTTCAATTTGTATATATTGTGCTGGATTTATTTGCTACTAAGGATATGCTATAATTTTGTAGTAATTTCTGCATAACGGATTGTCCGTTAATGGTACAGAAGATCTCCAGAATTTTTTCGTTTTAGAGTTGAAGGAAATGTCCGTAAACTCACAGGAAAATGTCCTGGTAATTTTCTGTTTTTTATTAAATCTATCTATCTATCTATCTATCTATCTATCTATCTGTCTGTCTGTCTTTGTCTGTCTGTCAAAATCCTAGAAAATACACCATGACAAGCAGAGGCGTCATGCCCATTCAGATTTCTGAGCCAAGTGCATTTTGAATGCAGCTTCCAAAAGACAAAAATAGCCGAATAATATTTGTTATATTTGATACAATAGCACTGGTGTGATTAAATCGTTCAGTGCGGCACAGCATCAGCTGCTAAATTCAAATCTGTGTTCGCCGGCTGGCGCTGAGCCAGAGACAGACGCGTTTTTACAGTGCTGCGCATTATGAACCAATCACACACTAAATGATCATTTAAAAAAGATTACGTCTTTTGTTTTTGTTTTGTTTTTTCTATTAAGTTTTGTGCAACCCTAAATTTAGGGCATGTTTCAGTTCAATTTTATAAAGCTTATAAATAAAATGCTGTTTGCAGTTAAAATAAATTAAATAATTGTACAACTATAAGTAAGAGAAATGCAATTTTAAAGCTTTCGTTCAGCAGGGGCTTGATAATTTAGAACTACTTTTTAATACAATTTTAAATAAATTTTCCATAAAAAAAAAAAAAAACAATAAGACAGGTTCAGTGTTGAGCTTTTGAATGCAGTCAACACTACAAATTGTGTAAAAAAATAAAATAAGATTAAGATCAAATAGTTAAGGAATGGACTTTTTAAAATATATTATTATATTATATTATATAATTTTTATAATTTAAATTAATTTGCTAATAAATAGTTAAATAGTACATTGAAACATTTAGCTGAACGTCAGCTTTTGCTGAAGTTCATTTAATAATGCATTTTTGTTTTGCGCATATTTTCATTTTCTTCACAAAAAAATTAGGTCAAGAACTTTTTTTTGTTAGTATATTAATTACCACAAGAGGGCAGTTGAGCATCAGTTACTGAAGCACGTCACAGTAAATACTGTCCATGCCTATGGCAAAAGCCACAAGAATCGCAATGATTTGAAATATTTTCCATCTGTCCACGATAGGTGTACATCCAGTAAAGATTTAGTTAGTCAGGAGGATGGTTTTGCATTCACTGACTTGTGCCTCTGCTTTTTTTTGCACAACTCACAACAATGCATTGCATACATGTGCAGTTATGTCCAAATTCTACTGCTGTGACACAATAGATGTATAAAGATCCATTTAATTACTGAACAAGAATCACTGCTTTAATCAGTAGAGGTACAAGTGGCTGTTTTCAGGCTCAACTGGATGTGACAAATTCTATTTTCGTTCAAATACTGTAAACAAAACATACACAATTCATGTGAATATACAAATGTAACTTTAATAACTTAGCCTTTAACTTAAGCAAGTTTTTCAAAAATGGCAACTGTGGTTTCATTATGATGTTCTGGATAAAAGACGATTTTACTTTCCAACCCGACATTAACAAAATGTTAGCTTTACATCCTGACCTTTAAATTAACAAAATGCATTGCGTGTCAATTCAATCAATGATAAACACTTCCTTTTCGGAGCAATCAATATTAGATCCATGTTAATTTATGGAAAACAAATGTTTATGGAATTAGTCATGAAATCAATAACCAAATAGCCAATATTCATATTACAGAAACAAATCAAACAGGTTCTGAAACATTTGTAATTAAATATGTCTGCATAAAGTAGTTTGATTGGGATTTGACAGAAAATACACTCCACATCATGATTCCCCACCACCAGAGTTACCTGACATGCCAAACACTCAATCTACACAGTCAACGTGAGGACTGATTGGCCTTTCTATCTAAAGTATCTTATATAAGAAATAATGACAACCCATCATGTTAAATCAAGAGTGGTATATTAGTGCATCAGCCAAAAGAGCACACACTTTCATTACCCAGGAGCTCATATTAACTTATATTTCTACTTTTAAGGGGGTCATAGTCCAGCTTGACTTCCATACACCAGAACAAAGCTGGACTGTACATGTGCGGCTTTCCAAATCCTCGGACCTGGATTTGAAAAGCACTTAAAGGGCACTTCAATTTCAAGACGACACAGTTTTTCTCTACTTCCGTACCTCTCCTGAGAGAAAGCTCTGCTGAACATCATTCGTACAGCACAAAGATTTACCTAACCCCTAAACCAAATCATAACAGCCTTGAAATGTAAAACGTCAACAATTGCACCATTGTATCATAAGCCTCACTTCCTTTGCCTTTCTTTTGATGTCTATATGGTTCATAAAAAAAATGCATTCATGCAAAATCATTATTGCAACTTTCTCAACATAACACAAACGTATAGATCAGCAGCAGTTTCAAGTATGACTAATAAATTTGCACATTTCTAAGCTGATCACATCAGAACTGTGATTCAATGAGTGCGAAGGAGAACTGATAAATATACTGATGGGAAATGAGCTAATGCTGACCTTTATCTGAAAACAAACATTGAGTTATTAGCTTGGCAATACTAGGAAGCGCAACTAGGAGATATTGTGAACTAAAAATAGGCTATTGTGATGTTGTAATGTTGTAGTTAATATGTTTTCAATAAAATGGGGACTGACAGCATACAACTCAAAAAACAATGCAGTCACTTGACTGTGGTGTGGTGAGTGCAAAAAAAAATCAACATGCATGGAGCGGTATGAACTAGCCTTCACTGTATGGCATACTGTATTGAATATGCAAGTGTACTGCGCCCCTTGTTTCCTTTTTGAGGAAACGCAAGTTTGTATAGTTCTCAATCATATAAAAAAAAGTAACCACCATATGTAAACTACAAAGTGTAGTCACTAAATGTTAAGACAAATATGCGCACTGACAGACACAATCATGTTCAGTCGGCTGTATCTTAACTATGAGCGGGCAGTAATATTTACCATGTAGTGCTATGGCCTCACAGAATGGTTGTAAATCAGTCTCTACAGATGATACTGTGTCCGATGAAGGTGGTCGGTTCAGTTCAGAGCATTCTGTTGCGTTTATGGGTTGGGGAGTCTGTGATGACGTCTGCGCACTGGACCGAGGTCCGCTTCCTGGTGCCTGCACTGCCAAGGTGGAGGGCCATCTCCTCTGATATAAAAGTGTTCAAGTCCACATCGTGCAGTCCGTTCCTTCTGCGCCCTGCATTTGAGCTGCCACTGACATGAGTCGGAGAGCCAGGAGTGCTTGAGCGGACGCTGATGCTGGCCATTGCACCACTTAGACCTGGAACCAAAGATGAGATTTAATGCACATGCTTTCACGTTTCATCACGTGATCCTTTTCACACTTTAAAAATACTGAGCAACTATGTGTCATCACCACATTTGCTACCCATGAATAATGATACATCTTAAACAAGGATGTGGTGGGTTTAGCTGGCTGTGCTTTAACAAAAACCTCTAAATAACAAGTGGTAAGAACTGTAGGTAATGTGAACGCAACTTCATATTTCCAGTGTATTGCAGTGATGCTATGTTTGTAGAGGTATGGAATGCTGTACTTGAAAATAAACCTAAAGGAACATATGGGTATACAGTCCTTGTCCCTGAACCACAAATGTCTGCCAGCCTATACAAATAATTATCAAATGATTGGCAAAAACAAGAATTTTAAATCAACAAATAATGTGAGGAGGAAAAAATCATTGTATATCAAGCTAATGCTATACTATTGCATTTAAAATAACCACCATATATAAACTACAAAGTGCAGTTGCTAAATGTTAAGACAAATATGTGCACTGATATACACAATCACGTTCAGTCAACTGTATCTTAACTATGAGCGGGCAGTAATATTTACCATGTAGTGCTATGGCCTCACAGAATGGTTGTAAATCAGTCTCTACAGATGATACTGTGTCCGATGAAGGTGGTCGGTTCGGAGACATGACAGTCAGTTTGGGGGCTGCTCTAGAAGTCCTTGGTGGTGGCGCTTTACCACATAGGAAACTTATCAAATCCTCCCTTCGTATAGTTCTTCTTCGCTTTTTTACCCAGGCCAAAACATCTCTATTACGTCGCTGATGGCCAGTCTGGATTCCTAAGTCAAAGCTCCTCTTGTGTGCATCAATGCTCTCTGTTGAACAGATCACAGTCAGAAGTAATTATGTATGCAATTTATTCAACCGTGTTGGACTCTAGATGTGTGTAAACTCAATACATAATGAGTTACCTTTGTAAAGATTAGTCACTGCTGTTGCAGCATTCTGAAATGGAGACCACAATGACAGTCCTTGCTGATGACAGACTCGATCTGCAAGACAGGAATAAAATCAGGGACGCTCATGTGATTTTAAAGACAACAGAGATAACTAAAATAGGTCCAGAAAAGCATTCAGATAGGATTTCTATTGTTAACCTTTACACTAAAGACTAGGAAACTGATAGAAAATACTTTTTCTAACTGTGTAGACAATACACGATAAATTCCGCTGGTTTTGCAATGGATTAAACCATGTCAATGCTATTTACAAAGAGTTAAGTGCCTAACCATAAAAAAGCTAATTTATTGTTAAAATAAGAAGCACTCACCAATTACACATTTGTTCAGCACATCAGCATGCCAAGATACATTTCAAGCAAAAGCTTAACTTAAAAGCTTAACTTAACTTAAAAGCTTCACTTCACAGACACAGACAGACAGACAGACAGACAGACAGACAGACAGACAGATAGATAGATAGATAGATAGATACAAATCTACATACAAAATAAAACATATATATATTATACTAAATATCCATTTTCTATTAGGCTAATTCTATTGCATTTTAAACAAACAATAACCACCATATTACTAAATGTTGACACAAATATGCGCATTGATTTTTGGGTAAAATAACTCTCCCCTTAAGAGCGAGTTCAGGTATCCCTTGTGTTAACCAAACAATGGCTGTCTCAACCCCTAGTGAGAAACAACATATTAGTGTAACATAGGTGCGTTCGAACGTGCCTCTCTTGCACAATGGTAGGCAGTTAAGTACACTTGGTTTTGAAACACAGCCTCAATAGGACACAAGCTAGCTCAAAAACCGGCAGGGCTTTGTCAAAATTTGTAATTTCATAAGCCTGTAAAACGTAAATGTGTTCCACTTAAAAATAAGCTTCTTCAATACAGAACACTTTAGCCGAGTGGAACAAAAAAACTCGTGTTTAAGGGCTAACTAGCCGGCTTTCCGGCTAGCCGGTTAGCAAGGCCAATATAATAACAACGAACAAACTGTCAAACACAGCCAGACCGGCGCGGCTAAAGCTAGTTATCATTCACACGGTGAAAAACAAGAATAAAACGCTGTTTTGGGTACTTTAGTGGCCAAATGAGACCGTTAAGGCCTTTTAGGTCGAAAGGCGTGGTTCAGTCTAGAAACAACGCGTTTACGCGATATTTTTCCAGAAGCGGACGGTTTCTTTAGCCGAGCCACTGGAAGTCCGAGGGCCGCTGATGGGGTCTCTTTCTCTGCGCACAGACCTTTATAAAGTTGCGCCACCGCTGTAGCGGAATTCTGGAAGAGATGCCAGAGTTTCTCCTGGTTTTGGTCCACCTCCTCCTCGGTCGGCTCTTCCCTTTCGGCCTCTGCGAGGCATTGGCGCTCCCATTTGGAGAACCAATGTTCGGGTCCGTGTTCGTGGATCTCCGCTTCGCTCTCCTCCTTCTTCTCCTCCATGATGAATACTGAGAAACTTCGGTGAACTTCTACTCGTTTTTTGAGTGATTTCTTGCTCTTGTGGGTCAATTGGCGTTCTTGAAATCACAAACCACCAGATAAATGTCGGTTAATATCCTTAGTTCTGGAAGTACGGGTTTGTATTAAAACGAAATGAAGTGAAATGTTTTGTCTTTTGTGACGCCGGAATCTAATTACCCCGGACTGTTGCTGTCCAGCCCGGTTAGAGGGTCGCTTTTGCCCTGCGCAGTTTCAGGCATCCCTTAATGTGGGCGGATCTGATTTAAAACACGCCCGCTTTGTTTTGCGCATGCCCGTATCAATGCTGTTGCTCTCAGAAAGTCACACACTGAATAGTTCTCCTAAATACTGTATGTTGTATATGTACATGCTAACGTTAGCTTTTATTGTTTTTAATGCACACGATTAATTATTTTTGTAACATTAGCATTTTTCCCTTTAGAGGTTTTTTTAAAACCTATATAATAATGTTCTAGGCATGTTTAAAAAAATAAATAAAAGAAAATATTTGTCGAATAAATATCGACCTATATACGTAAGCAATAAGGTACGAGAGGCCGTGCTGTATCGTGAATAAATCACGGCTGAAGCCAGGGCGGCACGGCACGACGCGAAGCGGAGTGCCTGCAACCCCTTCAGCAATAAGGCCTCCAGTACCTTATTGCTTTTATAAAACGGTTACCACACAATAAAAAAATATTAAAACCAAAAATGTATGTATTGAAATTTTACTTTTTGAAGCAAGTTCGTTAAATGCTGTCCTTAGTTCCCGACAGCAACAGTAAACAGCAAGAGAATGTTCCAAACATGCCTCTTCTAATGGAGCTTAAAGGGGTCATATGATGCGATTTCAATTTTTCCTTTCTCTTTGGAGTGTTACAAGCTCTTGGTGCATAAAGAAGATCTGTAAAGTTGCAAAGACTAAAGTCTCAAATCCAAAGAGATATTCTTTATAAAAGTTAAGAGTCAACCATGCCTATACTAAAACAGTTGGTTCTAACAAGCCCCCACATGTCTACGTCATGATGTGGGAAGATTTGCATAACACCGCCCAAATGTGCACGCAAAGAAAGAAAGCGTGGTTTCAGGAACAGCAGTAGTGTTGATAAAGCCATGTCAGGGAGACGCTGTGTTTCAGTGCGAAAGCAAAAGCACTTTATTTGGCCTTCCG